CCAGGTGCCCGCAGGGCCAGCGGGGCGCGGGGCTGGCGCGCAGGACCAGGGAGAGCGCCGTGATGCGGTGGATGGCCCGGCGCAGCGTGGCGATCTTGGAGAGCCGCTTGCCGCCCAGGTCGTGGCGCAGCGCGCGGCGGAGCGCGTTGAAGGCCTCGTTGTAGTCCAAGATGCGTTTGCGCTCCCGCACGTTGGCCGCCATGCGCCGCGCCTTGGACCGCACGGGCCGCGCGCGCTTCCGGCCGGTCGCCTCCTCCGTCTCGCCCAGGCTGCGGGGGGCGCCGTTCTCCCTCAGCACCCCAAAATCCCTCCCGACCTCCAGCAAAGAGCCCTCCACAGTGCCCTCGGCCTCCTTCAGGCCCCTGAGGCCTGATCCTGGCCCGCCTCGGAGCATGGCCTTCTTCCGGGCCTCGGCTCCGGCTCCCAAGCTGACAGTCCACCTTCTGAGTGTTGGCTTCTGTGGGCTGGACACTCCCCCGCAACAAGCCCTCTCTGGCCGGGCTTTATGACACCACGTGGCTCCCCGCCCTCCCCTTCTATGCATCTCCCTCCTGCTTTATTACCTGCCCCCAGGTAGGTTGGGGAGGGAGGAACCAGAGGAAGGAAGGAAGCGTGCAGGTTCTTGTACGAGGGGACCAGAAGGGCAGCCCAGCCATGCCCTGGGCAGTGCTCCAACGGCTGCCACCGAAAGCAGGCCCCATGGAGGAAGCAGAATATATGTATTTATTTCTGTGACTGTTTCTTTTCCTAGCGGTCTTCACCCACTAGGCTATCACCGTTCTTAGTACATTTGTATTTCCAGGGTCCTATTCCCAAAGGCGAGGAGCGGGGTAGTCCCGAACCACCAGCCACTCCACAGCAGAACGATGAGGCTTTCTACTCCCGGAAAGAAATAGCAGTCTCAGCAACTCGGGGGGAGTTCTGTCCTGTCCTACAGGGGCGGAATGACTCAAAATCAACTCAATGGCAATGGATTTGGAGGGTTTATTTTATTTCCCCCCCAAATCTGCATCCGATGCAAGGTGAATGAAGAAGTGAATGGCAGCCTCTACAATGGAATGTCTTCCTTCTACAGCCTCTTGCTGCTGAGTGGACTCTCGGCATCCAGTTTTGCGCCACAAGGTTTTTACTAGGCAGTTGCTTTTGAAAGCAGATCACCAGACCTTTCTTCCAAGGTGCCCCTTCTATGGACTCAAACGTCCAAACTTTGGGTTGGCAGCTGAGCAAGTAATTGTTGGCGCTGCCCCCCGGGGACTCCTTTCTCTTCTCCATTCAGTATGCTTGTCGCCTTCCCCACAGCAGACATGCACACAAACACACCCACACATGCCTTGACTGGATTCTACCCAGAGCATGCACTGTGATGTCAGAGAAGCCTTGTCTACCCGACTCCAGCTCAGGTGACAAATATCAGTCAGTCTCTGTGGGTCCCAGACAAGGAGGCAGGCCTTGGTCATCAGGCCAATGCCCAGATCGTCTGGTTCCAGCTTCATGATCATCTCTGTCCCACCCCATGGCCATGAACTCCTGGACACTCTAGAAAGTCCAATCTCCGCCCTGCTTTTAAAGACACTGGGGTTCAGGGCCTTGCCCAGCCCATCAGAAAGGCCTGATCCCCACACTCAATTGTGGGCACACCAGGAGGCCCCTCTAGATAGGAGGGACAGGTTGATGGGCAGCCCGTGCCTCCCATTTCAACTGCATCCAGGGTGCAATTGGGCACATGTGTGCCTCCTTCAAAGTGGAGAATGGACCTCTCACTGACCTGGGAATCAGGAGGCTTGGTTCTAGTTCTGCCACTAATTTGCTATGTGATACTGTCTCTCTCTCTCTCTGTCTCTCTCTCTCTCTCCATCTCAGCTTCTCTCTCTTTGCAAAGAAGGCATCCTCCCTGTGAAGGAGTGTAGGCAGAACTAGCTACATAATTTGCAGGGTCCAGTGCAAATTGAAAACGTGGCATTCCTGGTTCAAAAATTATTAAGAATTTCCAGATTGTGACAGCAGGGCTTTACACCAAGTCCCCCCTCCCTTTTTTTTAAACATTTTATTAGGGGCTCATACAACTGTTATCGCAATCCATACACACATCAATTGTGTAAAGCACATTTGCACATCATTCTCAAAACATTTTCTCTCCACTTAAACCCCCGACATTAGGTCCTCATTTTTCCCCTCCCTCCCCGCTCCCCCCTCCCTCATGAGCCCTTGATAGTTTATAAATTGGTATTTTGTCATATCTTGCCCTGCCCGAAGTCTCCCTTCACCCACTTTTCGGTTGTCTGTCCCCCAGGGAGGAGGTCACACACAGGTCCTTGTAATCGGTTCCCTCTTTCCTACCCATTCTCCCTTTACCCTCCCTGTTTCGCCACTCACACCACTGGTCCTATAGGGCTCATCCGCCCTGGATTCCCTGTATTTTCAGTTCCTATCTGTACCAGTGGACATCCTCTGGTCTAGCCAGACTTGCAAGGTCGAATTCGAGTCATGGTAGTGGGAGCGAGGAGGAAGCCTTTAGGAACTAGAGGAAAGTTGTATTTCTCATAGTTGTTACATCGCACCCTGACTGGCTCGTCTCCTCCCTGAGACCCCTCTGCAAGGGGATCTCCAGTGGCCTATTCATGGGCTTTGGATCTCCTTTCCGCACTCCCCCCATCATTCACTATGGTAAGATTTTTTGTTCTGATGATGCCTTCTACCTGATCCCTTCAACACCTCCCTTTTAAGCATGGGAGCAGCACCACTGCAAGATGCCATGTCCCTGGAGCGCAGGACAGGGTAGTGTAGGAGCAAAGAGCACAAGCTTTGGGGCTACGCTCCTCTGAGAACCTGACTTGGCTACTTTCAAAAGTCTGACCTGGAGAGATCCCTGAGCCTCATTCTCTACCTGCCAAGTGCGAGTGACATCAGCCCTAGAGGACATGGGAGCTGGAACTCAGCATTGAAGGAGAGTCATACTGCCCAAGGACAAAGTTCAGGAGGCAGGAAGGGTTCGGAAAGAGGAGGGATGAAGATGGGGAACAGGAGAAGTGGAGAAAGTGATGCTGCACCATGGGATGGGTTATCAGGGACATGAAGCCAAATGCGTGTGAATGGTTGAACAGAAAATGGGTTTGCTCTGTGAACCTCCACCCAATTCACAATATAAAGTGATACAAGACTACATCCGATTACCTTGAGGAGGATCATGATCCCTGTGTACAACCACAAACAGATTTCTCCTTCTCTGTGGTGTCCCCTGGACACGCAAAGCATCCCTCACCTCCACAGAAGGATGGAGGTGACCTATCCGAGGACTTCCTCCCCCTGTAGTCTCTAGGACAGCTTCAGAGAAGGGAGACTGCCCAGGGTGGTACGGGAGCAGGGATGCTAACCCAGTCAGGTGGTAAGCATGCCTAAACTGCTTCCGGGGTCTTTCTTGCCCCCAGTGACTCAGCATTCCAAGAACTCACCATCCCACAGTGGAGAGGATGTTGCTGTGATCAGGCGCCATCGAGTCAGTTCCAACCCATAGCGACCTTCTGTACAATAGAACAAAACACTGAGCGGTCCTGCACCGTCCTCACCATTGCGGCCACGCTAGAGCCCATTGTGGCAGCCACCGTGTCAATGCCTCTCGGTGAGGGCCTTCCTTGTGTCCGCTGCCCCCCGTCTTTACCAAGCATGATGTCTTCCAGGGGCTGGTTTCTCCTGAAAACATGTCTAAAGTCGGAGAAGATGCTGTCTAGTAATAACAGCAACAACAATAATGATATTGGCACTGACTACCGTTAAGTGATTATTATAGGCCAAACACTGAAGGAAATGCCTTTTAACATACACTGGCGTAGACTCACAACCAGCTATAAAGAAAGACTTAGATACATTTTTTAGACCTG